GTTTCAGGACCCCACCTTGATGTTTCAGGACCCCAAATTGGGTCCCAAGCCCAACTTTGGGAACCAAAGTGCAGTGGTTCCCAAACTTTTCAGCTTTTGACCCACAAAATAACAGTAGCAGAGACCTGTGCCCCCAGCTATTTTTGGATGATCAACATTTGCATTAGGCCAACTAAACACGGGCATAGCAACAAATGTTTTATACTACATTTATCCATTGTAAATACACTAACCTCACTCATTTGTAACAACTAAGGCAAAAATGTAATTAATTCAGAAAATCTTTTCAGGACCCCACCTTGATGTTTCAGGACCCCACTTTGGGTCCCGACCCCAACTTTGGGAAATACTGGTCTAGTGTGACAGGGCCTTTAAATCAGTCTGTGACTCTTGTTAGCTGAATTTAACTTTTAGCTAGTATTGTTTTTAAACATTTAGCTGCTGCCGCTATGACTTAGCTCATTTTAGCAATCTTTTTTTTAGCTTTAGTTATTTATTACAGTTTAGCTAATATGAGTTAGTGCTACATGTTTTAACTGATTAGTTTCAGCTGCTTTGACAAATTTTAAGTCATTCAGCATACACACACCACACTATGCTAATTTATCTTTGTTTATCAGATCACTAAAAAACAATCACTTCCTGTTAGAACACTGTCAACACTGCCTTGGGTAAACAATATATATAAGACAGACATAGTTCCAGAAAAGTGTTATTTTGGATTCCCTTAAAGACACAAGTGTCCCAAATCTAAACATATTAAATCACACAGGTTTTAAAGGCATTACACTTGAACTAATACATATGTTTTCTGGACATCTGTACTGTCAGTATGTTGTATTCCAGCAGGTCAAAGTGACCAAACGTCAGCAGGAGTTCATGCCTTGAGACACAGACTAAACAGAAGCCTAAATCTGTTCTACTGTGCTACAGGGAGTGGGAAATCCAGTGTAATTGCGTAGGCAAGCTGGTGAATCACTGCTGTGTGGCAAAGACAACAAAGACACAGAAAATAGGCAGTGAAAAAGGACAAGACCGGGCTCACATGTGGAGAAACAGAAACTAATATTTTAGATGAAAGCTTCGTCTTACCTGCCCAGTTGAAATTTCAATAACCTGACCCTGTGAGGGCCTTGTTGACATGTTTCAAAAAGCTTGCAGAAAAGGGGGAAGAAAGAATGTCGATCGGTCAGTGTCTCTTGTTCATTTAAACCCCGTGTAGGTGATAACGTCCAGCAAAAATATCCCACTTGAGTCAACAAGTTGAACCCCCCCAGCAGCGGGTAGAGTTAGCCAGCTACCGCACGTCCCATGTTTGTCAACAAGAACACAGCGCAGGAAATGGATGGGTTTTCTTCAGCCGCTTTCTGGGTGTAAAAAATAATAATAAACACTCACATCCAAATGAACGATGAGTCGTGAGCAGGGAGCTAAACCCAGGACAGTGTGGGGGGGTATACAGCCTCTCCTGGTACCGTGACGTTCCGGGCCAGCTAGCTAGCTGCCTGAGCTAGCTCTGAGAAAAGTTGAGCAACGGTTGAGTTGAACGAGACACCAGCGGAGGTCTACAAACTTTCAGGCCAAAAGTCATTCCCGGGACACAGGTCTCGACCCCCGTCCGACACCGACAGAACAGTTCAAATTATCCCCAGCGGGAGAGTCTCGGCGATGGGTCCGAAAAATAAAAACAGTAGCATGGCAGGTGAGGAGTTTAAAACGTAGCACTGGCTAATTGGGCTTGCTCGACGTTAGCTCGTGAAGCTAAGTCAACGATTTAAGCTAATAACCCAGCGACCCCGGTCAGTGGCGGTGAGTGCCAAGCCGCAAAACTTCAAAACCACGCAGATTACCACCACTCTGCTTCTTTTTTAGGGGGGTGTTGCGTGGTTGGAATAAGGTCGTTCCCCCCACCCCGGTGCGGCAATGCAGTGTGGCGTTAAAAAGCAGCTCGTCCTGTCGGTGCGCCGTCAAATATCCCAGCAGCGACCAGCCGACCGAAAGGAGGTGGAATCATCCGGTCGTGGGATCCATTATCGGCAAAGTGGGGCTTTTCTTGTTCGGAGGTTCGGCGGCAGTGTGGGGAGGGAGGAAGGAGGGAGGGAGGGGGAGAAAGACGAGGAGCTGCGCCCGATTGCAGTCTATCCTGCCCTGATACCGGAACAAGCTCGCAGCAACATGGCTGCTTGCACCGCGACTGAAAAGAGAGAAGAATCGAGGAAAGGGAGGGAGATCTGAAGCGTTCGGCTTTGCTCGTTTTTTTCCGAAAACCCGGCGCTCGCTGACTGAGTCACCCACCGTCCGTGCCTTCAGGTTGGAGGACAGCAGGTGCAGGACACTGGTGCACTCACTCAGCAGCCTCGGGATTTCAACAAGCCTTTTGTGTTTGTCTTTATTTGGATTTATTGTGACTGAATGGGCACTGGATTAAAAAAACCCAAATTATGTAACCCTTTATATTATAGAAGCCAATCTGCATCTGTGACAAAACAAATCACATCCTGTGTTATGTCATATAGGAAGAGCCTCTCATTTATGACTTATTATACATGACCTAGCATTTCAAAATAATGACTTAGTATCTCATATTTAGAATATTATCTCATAATTGTGACAACTATCATATATATGAGTTAATATGACTAAGTATTTATATTTTGCTATGTCATAATTATAATTTAAAATACTAGCCCATAATTGTGATATATATATA